GATCTGAGCGATTAGGATCAGGAAGAGATCATGACAAATTAATTGTTAACCATTACTTTGTTATGTTCCATATAAATAAGTGTAATTTAGGACCATGTTCTCGAGAGTATTTCATCTCTCTTTTCTGAACTGCGGTAGAAACTTTCAGTATTATTTCGATAGAGTTAAGCTTAGAAAGATGCATACACCCATTATTACATGAATGTAAGTTTTCCTACCCACTTCAGATTGATATGAGAAAATCAGTAAAGGTTTCATATTGGAAAGGACACCAGATAACAATAAACACAACCGACTTTTAAGGAAAAAAAATCCTCTGGCTTCAATAAATAAATCCCCAAATATTATATTATACTAGGCCCCATCCAAAAGGTGTTAGACGATATATTTGTAATAAAATGTATTTGTCACATTAATACTTTCAATGACTTGGACAGTCCTGCAGCCTAAACTCCAGATTCCTAAACTTTTGAGTTATCATTTTAAATGTTTGCCATTCAAAAGCACTGTGTGAATTGTTAATGACTCATGGGCTTATGTTTCTTGGGGAGGAGTTTTTGAACACATTTACACATAGCATTTACAAAAATTCAATTCAGGAATGTCACTGGATTTAGACTAGCTTTTTTAAAAAAATGTTTGAAACATTAAAAAAAAAGTTTAGTTAAGCACACAGCATAGTTTTTGGATTGTTTTTATAATGTGTCTTTCAGAATAGGCTTTATGCTTGTGGGAGGGTTTTTTGTTTTGTTTTGTTTTGTTTTACCTCAGTGTTTGGGGGTTGAGGACATGCATACATGAATAGTCATGCTTTTGTATGATCAAACATTTGATATTTGACTTTCTCGATGCTTGAGTTCTCAAAGGCCCAAAGTGTTTAGGAAGTGAGTAAGCAGCCATGGCTTTTCAATTGTTGAAAATTCTTTGCGGTGACAGACACTGGAGCCTAATTGAGCCACTGTTCAGTTTTAGAAGCCGACTGCTACATGAGTTTCAGACATGATAAATGTTTTTCTCAAAATAAAATTTCAAAAATTATTTTCTAAGAATACACTGAGAAGAAGAAAAACCACTGGTAGCAAGAGAATAAAATTATCTTAATCAGCTATCAAAAGTCCTCCACATTTTAAATAAATGCTAATGTTTAAAACAATTCTTGTCTTTAAAACATTAGGCAAAAATGCTGCAACATTATATACTTGTTTAGCTTTGGTTTTATAAAGGCTATTTTCTCATTTTTCTTAAAGAAGATGCTGCACAAAAGTGCCATAGGATATTACATTGAGATAATCAGCAATGGTATTTAAGCCATTTACTTTGTGGAGTCTTTGATAAAGAAGGAAGGATAGTCTTGACATTTTAAACCCATCTACTCTTCCCTAGAACTTCATTTTAATTTTGTGGTTAGATTTTTTCTTCTAAAAATTTGTTTTTATCCTAATACTTGATATCAGAGTTGGGAATTGATTTTGGAGAAATTTTTGCAAGACTATTTTCTGCTTAAAAAGTAAATTTACAATTAAGGCACTTTTTTTTCTCTTTAAAATACATTCTGATTAGAAAATTACCATTGTCTTTCAAATTTGGGTGTATTCAGGTTGATCTATGCTTGGACCAACTAGTTTGTCTGCCAATTCTATTTAGATAAGTTCTGTACTTTCACTTTGAAAATTTCTTTTCAGTTTGGTAAAAAAAAAAAAAGTTTTAAATTATAGTCATTTTATAAGAATTGCTTTTAGCAAGCAAAAAAAAAGCCCATGGAAACCCCATAATTTAGATAAGTACCTACATTTTATTTGCTCTGTGCTGCTGAGATTTAGAATCCCTTTCCATTTACAGTTTACTTTTCACAGAACATTATTAACTTTTTGGCTTCATACATGATCTTCTGTCAGATGCTTTTGATTTGTAATTTAGCAAAGTATAATAAACAGTGCAAAAAGTCATGAATTTCACTCTGCGTCCCGAGCTCTGTGGTAGGGAAAATGTGATAAAATGTGTACCTTAAGTCTTGTTTGATGATCTCTCAAAGCAAGTTTACCTTCTGGAAATAATTTCTGGGGTTGAAGAGCATGGTATTAACAGATTTAATGTGGCTATTCAATGGATTGGCCAAGTACTATGTGAGGTTTAACAAAATGAGAGAGACAAATTGAACATCAACAAAAGTTACATCTGTGAAGAATTATAAATTTAATTAGAAAAAAAGGCAAACTTAAAAGACCTCATTAACTAATCAGAAGTCAAAGTTACTAGTTTAAGATTCTTGAATTTAAATTTGAAGGAGTTCTGCTATCTTGGTTTTTTGTGTGTGTTTTTTTTCCTTCTTTGTAGGTTCGCAACTCTGACAATATGCATGCTACTATGTGTGCTCTCTACAAAGAGTTTTAAAATGAAATGACTTCATTGTAATGTAAGATGACCATTCCATAATGTAATAGGAAATAATTTTTTGCATTCCTAGAAGTACGTGAATTAAAAATACCAGGTTAGGAGAAGACAAGAAACATATCCTCTCCTGAACATAAACTAGAAAATGGGAGCTTACAGAATGCCCCGTGGCACTTTTCTGGAAACCATGAAATATTTCTCTTCTTCTACAAAAAAAAAAAAATATCTTTGGTTATTTTTAAACATATTATGGCTTTAGACCATTAAAATCCAGAAACTTCCATTGTCAAACATGAGAGCAAAACAACACCAATCAGGACTAGGTATTCTTTTTAGATAAGTCATTAGAAGAGTATGTTTCCTTACTGCACTGTAATCTTGTAGTACACATAAAAAACTAAAAGCATGTGAAGTGTAGCATTTTGTAAACTGTAACTAATTTTGCTCACATCTGTGTCTAATTGTTGTCTGCATTCGCATTCTTGAGAGTAGATTTATTTTTCCTGGACCACGATGTGGGTTCAGCTGACCAGCCTAAGTGAGGATTAGTTGTTTTAAAGTTATTTTGATTAAAGAGTCATTTTTAAATACAGTAACACACAACACATGGTTTAAATAATCCTTGAGACACAAAAGAACATATCTGAAGTATACTTAATGAAATGAAGATCGTGGATATGGACTCTCAAAAATTGGAGTGTTTGAAAGGACAGTGGGGACTAGGTTGACGCTTAAAAAAAAAAAAACCTGTTGTGCAGATGCTTCCTTCTCAATAAGAAAATTTGTTAGAATAATTCATGTTTTCATGTTCATTTTTAAATTAACAAGTTTGACTATTAAATTTAGATATGATAAGTTAAGCCTCAAATGTAACTAGAGCCAAACTCCCAAAGTACACAATGAAACTAAAAGTATATTCTCAGGATTCTGCTTTCTAGCCAATGTTAGAATGGAAATGTATTTTAACATTTAACAGGAAGTATGCTTTACATACTCTCTCACATAATTAAGCCAAGAGAGTTCTTAAAACTAAGTTAGTTCTCACCTATAATTTATTCCATGTGTATAAAAATAAAGGGGAAAAAGAAGAAGAAAAAGAAATTTCCCCTTGAGGTAGTAGTTTGCTGCTGTTTCTAAAGGAAACCATTTAATCTTGTGTGAGAGCATTAACTTTAACAGAAATTATAGAAACCTGTTATCACAGATAAATATTTGCAGGCATTAACATTTAATTTCTACTTAATACTCAAGCATCATATAAAAATATTATAGAAACACTTACCCAGAGATTTTTATATAACTTTATAGTGAGACACATAGATGTTAATGATGCCTTATTTGAGCTAGAAAGGTAGGCTTTCTTAGTTTCATAAATCATAATTAAAAAATAACAGGACTCAACAGAAGATGTTTGGTTGAATGTCATTTGAGAGGCCTCAGTTCCCATCTTTGTTCTGTAGCCCTAATTGATGTCAGTTCAGGTTGAATGAAAATGCACATCAAAGATTTGGAATTCTGAGCCATTTTCAACATTCTGCACAGTGCTTTCCTCTGCCTGCTAGGCGTTACTCTGAGCTTGGGAGCCAGCAGCAGCCTGCTTCACCTGGCCTTCTTCACCTGTGGGTGTCTAGCACTAGCCTGGGGATGGAGGTCCAGGACTATGGGCTCTAAGAATCTGCCTGTTAGTAAAGCTGTTTGGTGTACTCTCCCAGTACAGATTGATCTAGAAACAAAAGACCTGAACAGGCTGGTTGACTGGCTAGTTGAACTGATTGTTCAACCATTCGCTCTCCCCACCCCTCTCTCCTCGAAAAGATGAGAAATTCAACGGGCAAATAAATAAATGTCACTGCTTTTTCAATGTTGCCGGCCAGAGCTGCAGAAGCTCTCGTTGAATTTTAACTTGGCACCCATACACAGGCACACTGGGCTATGATGTAACTTTAGTGCTGAAAACTCCTTAGCCATTTATCCTGAGTCCAGCCCTGCCTGAAAGCTGCCCAGGAGCAGTTCCAGTGGATGTGAAAATGACAAAGAGTGAACGTGGGAGAAAATCAACAGGATAAGGATAGGAAACTGTCAGGAGTCAAAGGGGTGGGCGGGAGCTCTATTTCAGCTGGTGATAACCGAAGATGAAAGATCCTCCAAGGATGCTGGGAGATTATTACTTGAACTACTGCTAAACACACTCATTTTGGTAATAGCTATTTTTTTTTCTTCTTCTTCCAAGCACCTTTTGCAAACTGCCTGGGCAAGGCTGCTTTGCATGTTGATTGGGGGAGGGGTAATCCCGTTTGCAGCTGTCATAGGCTAGTGATGAATCACTATCCCGTCATTTGGCTGCCTCCCCTCCCCCTCCCTGCCCCCCAACACAACACACACACTAGGGGAGGAGGAGGATAGACCTGCAGAAGGAAACAACAGTTGAGACCTCAACTTAAAGACAATATGCCTTTCACTGCTGCAGTATCCTCCTTTTTCTTTTTTGGTTAAAAGCGGTCATTGTTGGTCTCAGCCATGTGCTCTGTATAATTAAGAGCTGACCCTGAAGTACTGTAACAACAGCTTCTAATTTTTTTTTTTTTTTTTACTCCTGACCACAGGTGCAAACATCTCAAACCAGTTCAGATGTGTCTGTTTCCTCACGTTGCAGGTAAGGATATTGTTGGTATTCAACATATTTGTAGATTACCTTTCTGTGACCCAGATCTATTTTGGGCTAGTATTTCTTAATTATTTCTATTAATAGCAACAGCCTCGGTTAGAAATTTCTTAACAATTTGTATGTGTATGTGTGTGCACTTGTGAAAAAAAAACTTACATAGAAAAGGAATAGAAACCTTGGTTGCAAAATAATTATAGACTATATTTTTCTGTGTTAGAGAAACTGTAAATGTGAAATAAGAACTAGAGGAAAATTGGGTTGAAATAATTTTTGCTTTGAATTCACATTGGAGGAAGTAAAGACTTTCTTCAGAAGTAAAATGGCTCATGGTAAGCTGCTTTAAAAACTGAGGTCCACAGTGAATTTAAGCGCAGTGTGTTAAATTAAAATAACTACCTTACATTGCCCTGGTAGATGAGGAACAAATAAGCTCATGCATCTAACATGAAGCCATCCTTACCTATTATTACTCTTTTTTAAAGGAAAATAAAATGTTTAAAATAAAGTGATGGGCCTTAAACCATATTTTTAAAAAGTTAGCTGTCAGAAAGCAGAACCCACACTTAGGTGTATTTTAATGACTTCAAATAAGTCTTCATTAATAAGACTATTAAATATAAATGTGAAATTGTCCTTATGAGCAGTGAGTGGCTTTTGTACCTTTACAATGTAACTACTGAGTCTTAAAAGAACTTTCAGGAGGAATTGAGTTGTTTTTAGATGGTAAAAGTGCAGATGATAGCAATGAAGTAGAATTGTCCTGGTTTCCCTAAGTGACAGCTGAAGTATTCCTAGTGCTAATGCTCCCAGGGACTCACTGTATGTTGGCCTTATCCCTTTTCAATTGGGCACGCTGTATGTAATCCACAAAGCAAACAAGTGAGCCGACATCATCATGTTTTAATGCTGCATTTGTTTCAAGGGAAACAGAGGAACAATTAAGTAGTTTGCCAGAGTAAACACATGCATCAGGACTATCTCATTCCCTGTCACTAGACTATAGGTTTCAAGTGTTTTATTTGGTTTGGAGACCCATTAAATTACAATTGGGTGGTAAATTATAAGGAGTACCTAGTGTTAATTTATTAGATGAAGCAGATTCCACAGAAGAGCGATCGATTTCTATTGGACTTGATACTTATTTGCCTTTTCATTTAGAAAAATAAGACCTTTGGGGATTTTTTTTTAATATAAAAAGAAAAAAATGACTATTTTTTCTTTGAAGAGTGAAATAGATGTTATTGTCTAATGTTAGGCCTTGTGACTTGATCTACTACGTAAGAGGAAATAGAGGAGATTTTCAGAACTCCGTTAAATGTTTGTCTGGATAGGAAGGGCAAGTGCCTCTTTTAATGGTACATGTAATGAAAAGATGACTGTAGTAAAAATGCAAGAGGAACTGCTCTGAGTCTGAGAACAGAGATACAATGGGACTTTTGTGTGAGTGTGTTTCAAAGGAGGTGTCAAGTCGTTAGCGCATTAAATGGTGGTGTTATGAATTTGGTCCCTCTGTCAAACGGAAGGCTTCTTGTCTTTAGGTCTATGGAAATGCAGGATCTAACCAGCTCGCATAGCCGTCTGAGTGGTAGTAGTGAATCCCCCAGTGGGCCCAAACTCGATAATTCTCATATAAATAGTAATTCCATGACTCCCAATGGCACCGAAGGTGAGTGTCTGCTTCTTATGGTTTGCTTTGTACCTTATTTCCTCATCAATATATGCCTTGTTACTGAGGGGTTGTGATTTACGTTGTCAACTCCATTAAACTACTGTTCTACTTCTCTAAGTAATTTGACTTAATATTCATCACTATTTAGGAGCTCCACATTGCTAGGCTATTTTAACATGACTGAGAGCAATGTTACTTGAGAGTCTGTAGTCTATTTTAATATACATGGGGTTAATTTTTACGTAGATGTATATATGTGTAGGTGTGTGTATATATAATATATATATAATACATTCATGTGTGCATAACATTATTAACTGTTGACCACAATATGCTGTCAGCATTGTTTTACTGTAGGATCAATGAAAATTTGGAATTACTTTATTTTACTTTTCATTTTGTTACTAAATATAGCCAAATTTGTTGAAATGTGAGTATTGAACTGGACTATTTCTAAAGATTTATGAAATAGTTTGTATATCCAGTATTCTTGTATATATTCAAGTATAAATAAGTTTTAAAAAGTTACTACAAAATATGAAGATATGGCAGATATACATAAACTAATTTTCTTAAACATGATGTAGCATATGCCTTAAATAATACTGTTGCACTTGTTTCTGCATATTTAATATGTGGGGATATTTGTGTGAATCTTAGGTAAATAGAAACACTTGTTTTAACCCATGTGTATGTAATTCTAAATATATCAGGGTCTATGTATGTATTGCTACCTGAGACGTACTCTGAGCATTTTTATAACTTGAGGATGTGGAAGGACATATGACATTCAGCATTGTATTTCTAATTTCGTCTATGGAAAGTATCTTTTTCACAGATTTTTAAAATATATTTATGCATTTTTAAACTTCAGGCTCTTGACTCAGAAAATAAGTATCAGGAATTGTTCATGTTAGAATTCCATCCTTGGACAAACCTTTGACTATAGGTTCCCAATCACCATGATTATCTTTTATCACTCAGATTTTACAAATAAACCAAGTAAATGCTATAATTATTGTCTTTTTTAGGGTAATATTTGAATATGTATCGGTGAAACCTTTTGGAATCTGTGAGCTATGAAATTTATGATAGACAAAATTTAAATCTGCCTTCTCCCCTTTGGTAGTTAATTAGAGATAAGAGTCTCACAAGACTTTCCTACCTAAGCTGTCTTTGAACCACAATTCTCAGATCTCAGACTCCTGAATAGCTGGGACTACAGGCATGAGCCACTGCACCCAGCTTTAAATCAGTTTCATATATATATATATATATATATGGTGGCTTGATTTTTATGCAGTGTTTTTTTTATACCAGTGTTCTTTATTTTTCTTTAAGGCTAAAAATATACATTTTCAGTGTTTATGAAAAATAGCTGTTGTCAAAAGTAGACGCTCTGCTGACCTAGCAAAACAATTTCTGAATAAAGGTCCTTTTCACCTGAAACTTCTTCTCATTTCAATAGTCAATCAAACAGAAATTGAAAACATGTATAGGGAAGCAATTGAAGTGTAGAAGTAGACGGTGTAGAGCAAGTAAAATAAAAGCCAGCAGAGCTGTTTCCTCTCCCTTTGGACTTGGGCTTCAGGTGAAAGCATGCTTGCTGTGAGTACTGGCTTGGTCTGGAGACACAGCCCACCCCAGGCTCTGCTCAGGTGAGCCCATTCCAGCCAGCATGCTGGGCAGGCAGCCACCGTGGGACCTCAGATGCAAACCATTAGCAGTCATTTCTGTCATCATAGTGTGAAGATCAGACAGTCACTTATCACTTGAACATAAGGACAAACTAGGCATGTCCAATTACTTTGCTTAATAGAAGACACCGGAATAAATTGAGTAGCATATTTATGTAATACCCATAATTCTTATGTGAAAAATGAAATAGGAATAAGAAGTTTCTATCTCAACATTTTTACCAGCAAGTCATCTCCTAAAAATAAGATCCACTATAAACTGACATGGTGAATTGAAACCCTTTTGTGTTGTTGTTGTTGATGATGATGATGGTAAAATAATATTGAAAAAAATCTACCCAGTACTAAAGCAGAGTATGAGTTGGAGGAATTCCCCCTTAGATGGCTTTGTGTATCTGGCATTGTTTGTTTTTTAAGCACTTGTAGAGAGTTATTTCTGAATATTTACATTTTTGACCTGGATATGATATTCATATTCTGGAATACTTAATTTTAAGGTAAGAGTTTTTCATGATTAAAATCAGCTTGGAATAATAAAATATTTTAGATAATTGCTTGAAGCATTCAATTTGTGAAATAATTCAAAATCTCTTATACAAAAGTTTAATAGTTAGAAATGAGTTTTTGTTAAGCCCTGATTTCAGAGAAATAATGGTTCATTTCATCCTATTTTAAAGGTTTCTTCCCTGGTGTACTCTGCAGGATTTTGGTAGGTTGGAAAGTGAAGTTAGAGACAGAAAATTGTACTTGGACGTGATAAGTTAAACAGGACTCTAAACATTCACACAGTGAGACCATAGGATGATATTCTTAGGAGAGGATCACAAGGGCTCAAAGCTATGTGCATATGATCATATAAAATGTTGTTTACCAAAATGGAAGTAAGAGGTTTTTGTTATTTTACTTGTTGGGTTTTTTTCTTCCCCTTTTGTCACTTTTTTTGATTTTTGTCTTGTATGTAAGTTTATCTAATTTGGGGAATTAATGGGGGACACAGAAATGATGAGTTAAAGAGTTGAATTAATGCAGCAGTGATACTCACTATATACTATGTTGAAAATGAACTATACCATTTGTGGGGAAGGAGGGTCAGAAGAGAAAAAAAACGAAGGAAAGAAATGAAGAGGTAACAATTTTCAAAAAGTCATTACATGACTTATGTAACTGTAACCTCTCTGAACATCACCTTTATAGTAAAAATAAATTAATTGAATTAATTTAAAAAAGAATATCAGTATACATTATCCCAGGCATTAAATGAACTTTTGTTAATTGATTGGAACATCCAGTTTTATTTTACAATCTGAAAATATAAATTACAATCTCTATTCATGGTCCTCTTCTCATACTTAGATCTAAACAACAGCATGAGGTCCACATGATTATTAAGTCTGTGAATTCATTTCTTTTGCTACTTTCATGTTCCATCAAGTACATTTTCCATTCCTCTCAGCCACCGCTAGAGGAGTTAGGTTTTAAATTATTGGGTTCATTAACATCTGGCAAGTGTCACTAGAATAAAATCATTATAGATTTTCCTATTCCTTCTTTGAGATCTTAGTTTGAAACTAACAGTATTTACAAATGAAAATTATTTTTTTACAAAAGAATAAAACAAAAATGCATTGAAGTTTAAACTTTTCAAAATATTTTTCACCTGCTTTAATTCTTACAACTATTTCCATCTACACACACACACACACACACACACACACACACACACACACACACACACACACACACACACACACACACACAGAGTTTATACTTAAGCAATTTCTCTGTAGCCCAAGTGAAAATAGTCTCAGCTCAATTGAAATTATTTAGGTCAACAAAACTTCCATTTAGTTTACACAGTTGTTGGCTTTGCCTGAATTTATATAGGTTGTCTCCTCTCACTCAGAGCCATGTTTTATTTCCTGCCACTACTTGTCCCTATAATGAGGCTAAGAAAACAAGAAAATCTCCTGTATCAAAAACCCTAACTTTATCTAAAGAACAAACAAGAAAGGAATGAAATGGCAAGGCACAGAATATTAAATTTCTTCTTAAGTCTGCTGCCAAATTATCATAAGACTCAATGTTTGTAGGTTCTGTACTTACAGGCTAGTGCCTATTTTCATGGTTCATCTAAGGGATAAAGGCAGAAAAACACCAAACTATAACATCAAGTACTGTGCTTTTCTATTTTCTAGATGACATATTCCTCACTTATAATAGTTACTTGAATGTTTCATTTTTCAAAGCTTTTGGCCTTTCCTATTTTTATATTTCAGCTTTTCTGTGAGTATTATTGTTACAGTTTAGTTGTTGGTATTACCAGTTTATAAATCTTTGAAACAGGAAATATAATTAGGTAGACATAGTATAATATTGGCATAAATGAAGGCTAGGCTTGAATCAGAATGACCACTGTTAGAAGTGATATGTTTCCAGATGCATTAATGAACAATTCAATTACTATTAAACAATTAGTGTTTAACCCACAGAACATCAGTAGATTATTGTAAAAACACATTGTGATCTTTGAAGTGTTGTCTCTACACTTTTGGAGAGTTATAGGACTAGAAACTTCTCACTAGAGAAAGTTTTGAGTGTAATTTTTAAGAAATAGGTGTTTGTATATTGATGTTTCCATTTGTACATCAAATCTTTGATTATGAGAATTTCTTATATTCAGTATATGTTCATTTCTCGCTCTGGCAAAGGTTTGGACTGATGTTTGTGTTAAGTGTGAAAAGTCATTGGGAACTTTTTCTTCAGAAGAACTCAAAGCTATAACAATAAAGAGGATTTTTATTTACACACCTAATGAGGGCCTTGTTTGCAAAGCAGGGATTCTTTCTATCTTTATCTCTGGTTGTCTTAAGTCCTTGGGAGCCTGAAGTTAGTCATCCACTCTGTTGCTAGTTTGAGTGTTTATTTTTGGTTGTCTGTGGGTAGGGAGTGAGGAAAAGCTCAAAAGAGGTGTGAATGAAGAAATTAAGAGCTCAACTTGGAAGTTTCCTCTATTGTAAATTCAGATTCAAACTCAAGAAGCTTACTTAAACTGGTCTCATAACAGATACATATTTTTTTGTTTGTTTGTATTTTCTTTTTGTTTTTTTTTTTCTCAGATAAATGTATCTTTAAGTGACCTAAAACCAGATGAAAGTTGGGATCTTCACTACAAATTTCAGGAATTCTCATGGTAATTCAAATAGTAATTTTGAATTAGTATATCAGATTTCCAAGTTGATAACAGATTAAAATCTTGAATTAGATGGCTAAATTGCCCCATTTAAAACTTACTCAGTTGTG